ATATATTATTATTATTATTATTTTATTTTTTTTGTATATATATAACATTTCTGTCCCCCTCACTTCTGAAATGATGGCTACGCCCCTGAGTCTGAGAATATCAAACATATTTGATATTTTGAGACTATTTTAGAACACATATTGTTTACATTTGTCATTCGTCATAGCAACGAGGCCCAAGGTTCTGCTTGAGTTTGTCATGTTCAGAACAACTTGAAAGTCTGGTAGTATGTGATCGTTTAGTGTATGATGCTCTTTTTTCTCTGTAACAATTTACAAAGTCAGTGTTTTAAATCTGTTCAGATTTGAAAAGCCATGTTGTGTATTCGAGCCTTAGTCTCAGTGACCAGGTTGCAATGGTTAGCAGTATGTTCATAAGACAAAGCTATCGCATGACTTCAGAAGACTTTGCTCCTTTCATGTTGCTTATTTTAAGCTTAAAGTATCCAGTCCCCATTCATTTCATTGAATAAAGAAAGAAAATAAAAATAAAAGTCATATGGGTTTGGAACACCATGAGGGTGAGCAAATAATGACAATTTGTGGGTGACCTATTCCTTTAAAAACTAAAAAAAGAAAAAGAAAAAAGCCACAAGCTGAAAGGTTACAGGTTCAAACCCACAAGGGACAATCTGGAGCAACCGACATTGTGCTGTTAAGCAAGGCACTTAACCCCATGTTGCTCCAGGGGGGAATGTACCTGTAACTTAATGCGAAGTGAAAGCTGTGAAAAAAAATTACAGTATTCTGTAAGAATTTTATACATCGAAGGCTCTGATGTTCTCACCAGTAGAGAGGATCTTTTGGTGGCGGAGTTGCTCTTTCTGGAGGAGGTGCTGCAGAAGAGCTTGGTGGCTGCTGCTCACTTTGGTCTCCATAGCAACAGACAGGGGGACTGGACCCAGAAGATGGGTGGGCAAACCTGGAATGACCGCTGATATGCCACCACCCTCAAAATGCTTCTCCTGAAGTCCTAAAGCAACCTGACAGGTGATAGAGAGGATATGGTCTATTTATTTCAACTGGTTCACTCACAAATGTATTGAATTTATTGATTCAAACCTCAGTATGTGCTCTGAGAAACATGGGAATATGTGGAATGGTCTTGGATTGTTCAGATCAAAATGTCTCTTATAGCCAAATATATGTATACAAATGTATTCATATTTATTTAATCTTCTAGGTAGGGAGCAATAAACTATTTAAACTGCAAATTAACTCAAGATTAAATATTATTTGGAGCTACACTTGATTATTCTGGTTTGGCTGGACTTTAAACAGCAGTAATGGATGAGGTGACTGGGGAGGGCTGGAGTGCAACCGACACCAGACACTTAAGCACAATATTTATCTAAGGCCTATAAAAACTCCGAAGGTCAAAGGCCAGCACCCTGAGGCTACACATATCATCCAGTCAGCCAGTGATGGCAAGTCTTTCAACAGTCAAAGCAATATGCAGCTGAGCCAAGGCTATAAACTAAATTTCTCCTCATTTATCAGTGTAAACATCCACATTAAATTCTACAGAATTAAATCAGTTTTGGTGACTCTAATTTGGAGTTTCATAGAGACATAAATTATTCATGATTTTTTTTTTATATATAAAAATGTTCTGATTACACCTTACAGTCGAGTGACAACTTACACTAATATTATTTTGTTGTCACTCTTAAAGTATAAAATATTCACATTATATATTGCACCAAAACTATTCACACAATACAATATGGAATTCTATATATCATATTTAATTTTAAGTTTAAACATACATATATATATATATATAAAACTGAATATAAAATTAAATAAAATTAGGAATATGTAAATAAAATGTATATATTCATAAATTAGCTCTTAGCTTGAGAGACTTCTCTCAAAAACATTAAAACATTTTAAGAATTCCAAACTTTTGACTGGTAAATGAACAATATCACACATTATCATTAATTGAACAAAGTGAACTAACAGTTGTGTAAATATGAATATACAGTATATATACACACACACACTATACTATACTATACTATACTATATAAATATCTTAATATTAATTGATATAGAGAAATATAATATTATATTTTATTTAAAAAAGCAATATTTAAATATTATTTATTTAAATTTATTTATTTTGTAGTCTTTTTTATTTTTACTAAAATAATAAAATATTATATAATATGTAGTTTTGCACATAAGTGTCAAAGCTCTTTTGAAAAAGCATTGATGCCTGAATAAATTGATACACACACACACACACACACACACACTACAGCCATACTCATTGTAGTCTGACTGAGTGTTACAGAGTTCATAGGGAAGATTTGTGTCATGTTGTTCATGCCAAAAATCCAGACATTGTGTGAGCTGGCTTTAACATGGGAAGTAATGAAAGATGATGCATGTCGTTATTTGACTTACACTGATGGGAGAAGAGGCAGCTGAGAAACCCAGGGAGATATTGGGCAGCGATGGAGACGTATACAGATTTAACATAGACACTGAGCTTTCAGGCCCTAATAACCTCGGCTGTGACGGCCACCGCTGTGATGGAAAAAGAGAGAGAGGGATGGAGGGAAGGAGGGAGAGAGAAAGATAGATATTTTGAAATCCCACTATGGACCATTGGAAAGAGCAACAGCAACAGAACAATAAACTTTAATGTACTAAAACGAATGACGGTTTTGTTCCTGCCACAGCGGAGCTGTATGAGCTCAACTGAAGGACGTAAAAACCAAGGCCACAGAGAAGCCCACAAATGCAGAATCATATCCCATTTGCTATAATTTCTCAAGCTGAATTGTATCAGAGAAAAAAAACAGTCTCACTGCAGTACTGATCAGTTTTTGACTGTACTTCCTCGACCCAGTGGTGCGGCCCATCAGCATGTGGCAGAGGGGCTGTACTGTTTACCCTTCAATCCCTCCTACCTATTCACTGACCTGTATGTGGATATCCGGCCTTATTTGACCCAGGGGACCAGTTCCCTCTGAAAGAAGATACCCAATGTAACGGATCACAAACACGGCTGGCTTTCGAAACTGGCGTGGTGTCTGCGGGTTGCACTGCTACGATCCATGAGATGTCAAGCTTATGTCAATACAATAGCGATCGGGCGTGTTTGTGTTGTTAACGTGTCTTTGGCTACCAGCGGCTGGTGGATCAATTAAGCTCAACCACCCACCACCTCGACCCTGGATCGCAGCGCAATAAGCATTCCTTGTTGGTTATTGCATTGGAGGTTCATGGGAGTGTAAACAGTGGTGTTGAAGAATAACACAGCTGCTAAGCTGAGGCTTCACAGAGAAATGTCACATTTGCCCAGAATGCACCTCTTTGTGAGCAAAGTCCACAGGGACCCAGAGGATCCAAGCCGTGAAGCACCCAGGAAGTGAGTCAGAGGGAGCTAATGAACATCGGCAAATGGGAAAAGTCCTCCATGTTGCCATAGGAATATTTTGGGTTCAATACAAGTTACACTCAACTGGTAGAAGGGCTGCATGGTTTGGTGAAAAAAAAAGTGATTTTCGGATAAAAAATTGCGATTGCTATTTAAAATGTGATTAAAAAAAAAAAAAAACTTGTTTGTATTGGCCCAAAATTTTGTGATTATATATCCATATGATTATGAAATTCTAATTAAAATTCATTTTAAAAAATAAAATTTTAAATACCACCATAATACGCTGAAAACACTGGACAATGAGCTGCTCACGTGTAAATGAAAACAGTGCTGTGCTTCACGCAGTGCATACTTTTTTCATTAAATCACAGCCTATCAATTTAATAATTGATAAAAAACACTTTTGGTTTAATTTTGGTTAATCATGCAGCCCTAATTGACAGTATTGTGGTGTAATGTTGATTACCACAAAAATAATTCTGGCTTGTTCTTTTTTTTTTTTTCAGAAAAAAGCAAAAATTAAGGTTATAATGGAATCGATCGGGGCCAATTTTTGGACGATTAAAAATAAAAAATGTGAAGTTAGTTGTTTTGTTAAAACCTTTATGCTTTTAATTTTTATGGTCATATTAGGGGTTTAGTCGTTATGCTGTCATGACAATGAAATAAAACGGAATATAACTTTACACAGAAAAAGTTAGAAAGCGATTTCTTCACAACACAATCAATATGCATATTTATTTATTTATTTATTATGTCTTGTGCCTATATTTTTGAAACATTGATTATTTTAACATTTGCAAATTGGTCCCCTTCACTTACATTCTTAATGCCTCATTGTAAACCAACACTTTTTTAAAGAATAGGGGAGTCAGAATTAATTTAGTGGTGATTTATATATAATATATACGTTGATTGAGCATAACATGTACTGAACCTGGAACCTGCACCCTATTTTGAAGGTTAATAGTGAGAATATGCATAGGTGAGCCCTGAATGTAACTTAATTTTGAGCTCTATCTGATCTACTCTTTCTTGCCCCGAGCTTTACGAGAGCTGCAGGCAAAGAAAACCACATAGCTATGCCAGTAAAGGTTAGCGGTACAGAGCAGGAGTTTGTGGGAGGAAGTGAACTGACTCTTTATTGTCCGTGCTGGGAGCCGTTTTCATTGGACTGAGACGGACAAGCAGGTCACAGGCTGTAGAGACAGAGTTGTGTTTTCATAGCTGCACGAGGACAGGCTGGGCTTGTGTCGAGGAAATTTATGGGTGCGGCCTGGTGGCCATCAACTTTTCTTTTAGTCGTACAGGTTTTAATCTTTCAGGAAAGCTTTGTTGAAACTGCTGTGAGAAAGCTTAACTGTTAATAGACTTTCGTACCTGTAATAAAACATGTTTAATATAAGTACCTCAGTACGTGTGGTGACTGGTAGAGAGGAGGGTCCGTTTTCAGCCCCCAAGGCACTGTAGGCCCCGTTAGGTGAACTGGGCCCTGATCCTGGTGCACTGCTGCTGGCTGTGGATTCTGGGGAAGATTAATTTAAACAGACATAAGTGCAAGTATAGACATTATCGATAATATAATTTATAAACTGTACAGATCTAGAAATTCTTCATATGGTTTTGAAAAAAATGTTTATACCAAATTAAACAAAAGTTTTATCTAAAATGTAATGTCAAATGTAAATTACAGGTATATTTTACCTGCACTTTGAATACATATGATTGTCATTGTGCAATATTGATATTTAAATATTTATTTCATCCTTTTAATGAAGCTTTTTTCTTTATTATGATTACAGGACAGTTGTTCCAGCCTGTTTCTTCTGACTTTGCCCCCCAAAAATATACAGTGTTGGGGAAAGTTAATTTTAAAAGTAATGCATTACAATATTGCGTTACTTCATAAAAAAGTAACTAATTACGTTACTTAGTTACTTTTTATGGAAAGTAATTTATTACGTTACTTTTGCGTTACTTTTTAAATCTGGACAGGGCTTGCTTGTTTGTTTTTAAAATAAAAAAGTTATATTTTTGGCAAATATAAAAGCCTTTTCACAAAAGTGAAATGAATAAGCCTCAGGCTGAAGGAAATGTAAATTTAAGTCCGTACAGTAGAATGCAGAAGAAGAAATTTCAACACACAAATGTTTGTCTAGAGTAATTTTTGCTTATTAGTACGGCTGAACTGGATCATCGAAGGTCAGAAGCAAAGACATTGGTTAATAGAATGGGATTAAATACATAAAGGATATTTGTGTTGTTTAACATTTAATTATTGCAGGTTTGCGTCATATTCTGAGTTGCATTATTTGTATTCATTTTGAGGAATACTGAATCTGTGATTCATTTTGAGGAAGAGTGAATCTGTGTGTGTTTTTTTTTTGTGAGTGAGATGAATTAATGCATATTCATATTTATTTTAGAACTACAGTAACATCTTCTGATTTCTCAACATGGGGATAGGAGAGTTATCAATCAGTAAATTGGAAAAAAAAAGTAACTTGCGTTACTTATTTGAAAAAGTAACTCAAATATTCTCTTGTAAATGAAAAAGTAATGCGTTACTTTACTAGTTACTTGAAAAAAGTAATCTGATTACGTAACTCGCGTTACTTGTAATGCTTTACCCCCAACACTGAAAATATATTTTGCAATTTATATATATCTATTCTATATATTTTATGAGATATTGACTGGTATCTGGCGGTCAGCAATAGCATGATGTCATATTTGGCATATTTACATTTACTGGATTTACTGGATGACAATCTTGCCACTGTGTTTGCAAAACCAACCACCAACTGCTTCCACTTATACATTATAAATACACAAGTGACTGAAACACCATGGAAAAATCATTCGACCGGCCAAGGCTCAAAACCACATTGGATGGTCCTCTGGATGACACCTGCCAGAGCAGCTGTTACATAACAACATCAGCACACTGAGCTGCACAGACAGTGGACGGCTGCTGTGATTACTGGAGAGAAACCGCCAGCGAACAGCCAACTGGTAGGAGGTCTTATTGTTTATGCCCCAGGTGTGTCGTCGAATTTTTAGATGCATTATGGGATGGTATTCCTACCCAGAAGTTCCAGGGCTCTCTTTTTGAAGGGTGTCATGATGCTCCCCTCCTTTCTCCTGAGGAGCGGGCTGCTCCTCCTCTCTGCAACCTTCTGCTTTAACCTGGACCGCACCTTCAGATTGGGTTCTGAGACTGGAAAGAAAACATAATAACACAAATATTCAGAATCTGAACGGTTTAGTCTAAACCAAGTAGTTGTTATGGAAATGTTTTGATGCATTTGTAGCTATGCATGTCAGAAAGTAGGAGAGGGGAATCCACATTGTTGTGTAGTAGCATTCCTGTGCTGTGATGTTATAGGACTGTGATTAGATCAGTGGGCATTTACAGGTTGTTTTCAAAGACCATAGTTTCCTCATCATCTGGAGTAAATTAGCCTGAGAAACAAAGGCTTTAAGGTGAATTTTTTTTTTTTTTTTTTTTAAAAGGTTGGCAAGAGCCAGGCTGACCATACACTATTTTACTATATTGTTATATTATATTATATTATATTATATTATATTTTTTAAAAATTACTTTGTATATAAAATAACATTTAGGGTCAGAAAGATTTTTTATTAAAGAAATTATACTTTTATTCAGCAAATACATTAAACTAATCAAAAACAAAAAGTAAATTAATTCATAATGTTACTTACACATGATTTCAGTTTCAACTAAATGTTGTTCTTGTGCTCAAAGAAAACTGAAATAAATTTGATCTTCCACAAAAATATTAAGCTGCAAATTCATTTTCAACATTGATAATAACAAAAGTGTCTCTTGAGCACAATCAGAATGAATGATTTCATTATAATATTTCATTATCACATTTAAAAAA